AATAGGATTTTACATATAACGATATGATTTACTAACACTATAGGACATTTCCCAGGACATTGTCCCGGAACGTTGTCCGGGACATTAATACAGGGAAAACGTCCCATGTATAATATTGCTGTAAAGGTTGTAAAACTTACCTGAAGAAGTAAAATCGGATGTTGCTGGTTGCCCTAATGGTTCTGCTATGGTCGAAGTTTCAGGTACAAAGCCGTTGCTAGTTGTTGAATTATCACCATTATCACCAATATTATGATCATAAAATTGATTCATTGGAGGTGATAAAGAAGTAGGTGATGCGACAATCGTTTGGGTCTGGGGACTTTTATGAGACATCTCTTCGTCAGAAATCGTTTCTTCTTCAACGACTTCATCACCTATAATTAATAAATTAATTCGATAATTATGAGTAATAAAATAATTTGCAACTTTTTGAAAGTACATCATAAAAGTTACTTTTAGCTAAAATACTCTAATGATGTATATGGAAATAAAATTATTATCACTAATTATTTATAAGAAAAAATTGATACATACTACTATTTAATCTTTTCTTTTTTCGTGCTCCTGTACATCAAAAATTAATTGATTAGTTAACAAGTATTATAATTTTTATTAAACCAAAATAATTTATATATGATATTCTTATAATTACCTGGATAATTATTACCCTGTGCATCTGTACTTTCAGTTTCGGAGGCAACTTTCGTAGTTTTCTTTTCGGTCTTTTCATTCTTTCTTCTTTTAGCTTCTTCCTTTAACCGTTGCCTTTCGGCCCTTTCGGCCTTTTCTTGTTCTTTTTGTTGCCTCTTCTCTTCTTCTTCACGTCGTCTTTCTTCCTGTTTTTTTTCTCTTTCAAGCCGTCGAGCTTCCTTCGATTGTTGTTCCTCTGACCGACATCATACAACAGAAAGCAATGTACACATTATCAAAAATTGGCAACACTGATAATATTCCAGTCAAATGTATAAAAGATAAATCAAATAGAGCCACTTAATAAAAGGATAACGGTGGGATATATGCGTACCTAATTGTGTTAATCGCTTTGATTCCTCTTGGTCTTTTATAATTTTTGTTCCAGTTGATATATCAAGCATTTGAATTCTTGATGGCTTTTGATATTTTTTACCTTGTGTGATAGTGACCTTTTGCTCGGCAGGTGATTCCGAACTCGAAGATGCTAATCCTGCACCAGGTAAAGATCCTGCTGGCAGCGGAAACAAAAATACCAATTTAGCGAAACGTGTGTACATTATTCCACCCATCATAACGTACCTCTGGTTGTGTTAATTGGGCCTGGTTTGGGGGGATTTTTACCTTTAGGATAGGGTTGTGTCAATTGTGAAGGTCGACGTTTTCCGGGAATAAAAATTCCAGAAGAGGTTGAATTGGAGCGACTTGGAGGACCATGCAATGCTTGATTTTGTGATTGACCAATTTGTGGAAAATTGAATCCTGTTGCGTTTACAGGAGAGGTCAAGCTTGGAGAAGGAGGTACTGACATATTGTTTAGAATTGTTGTACGTGTTTGATTTGCAGTATTTGCGGTTGAGTCTCGCAAACCAAAATGTGATGGCGTAGCATAAGTGCTCAGTGAGAGCGTAGAAAAAGAATCGCAAATATTGCGATCGATAAATGCATATTCAACCGGATAAAATTTGATTCCATTTAGTCGTACTATAAATTAAGAAAAACAAATTATTAGCTAAAGACAACGAAAATTAATAATATTTATTCTTAAAATATAAAGAAAATTACTCTTGTTCATTAAATTTTGAAGTCCATTTTGAGCAGCAGTCGGGATATGTTGTTCTATGTTCAAATCAAGCGCTGATGTACTTGGATATTCCCGCAACATTTTTGATATTAGAACAACCCATTCGTCTTCATCTTCTCGAGTGCCTTTTTCGAGTATCTAAATTAAAACATTTGGTATAACAGTAAATATGTAAGTAATGAATGTTAAAAAAAAATTTTTAAAGTCAATAATAGTTAATTGTATTCTCTGTATTAGACAGAGAGAACATCCATAATAATTTTTGCAATGCATTTCTCTATCAATAGATCCGTTATGCATAAACGAAGCATTACAATGCATTATAAATAATTTATTTAACGGTCCTATAGAACTTTCGCAAAAAAAAAAAAAAAAAACCATCAATCTGACAAGTACATCATAATATTACGATTTCTAGATTGACAGAAGTGACACATTTCTCAAAGAACATGAGAGACGTGCCGACACATGATAGACATTTATCAGTTGATCAAAATAAAGCTAGAAACCCGTATTTATTTTACTTTTGTATGTTCTTTCGAGTATCATTATAGCTTTATTATTTAACAAATTCAACGTCTTTTTTAGAAACCATAAATATTAAAAAGGGGACACGTAAATGGCTGATCCCCAAATTTGCACGATCAAATCGGAATTTAGACACTAACTCCGTTGTTGCTTACCGCTAATAACTCATTCTTCATCGTGTTCGCCAACAGTTTCCTAATGTTTAGTATAGAAAACAAAACTCCTAGCTTAATATTAGGTGTGTAGGTGTCCCAGTGGTCACGAATGGTTTTCAACATTTCCTGCGAAAGTTCAGGGCCAAGCGTTGTGGGAAACGACCAAGGTTTCGCCGACAACGCTGTAAGCCAGGCCTCTACACCTTCAGGCGTATTACGATCCAGGGCCATGTCTTATACTGAAAAATATTTTATCACGAAAGCCTCACTGGAAAGTTATTTTCAAAACAAACGTATTGTCAATCAAAAGTTCTGAACGATGTTGTCCTTATATATACTGCGTGTACTAAACACTTGAGCTACTTATTCAAAACAAACACACGTGATAATTGTAATGTTACATTTCTATATTTTGATCATTCGTAGCAACTATTGGTTATAGCTAAAATTTAAATAAAAAAACTTTTTTTTTTAAGTAGTTTTGCTAGTATTTTATTTTTTTTTTTAACTTACTTTTCATTTATTAAGAAAAAACATATATAATGTTATAACAATAATATAAACTACACTAAGTTAGCTCTTTTCAACTAACTCTAGACTTATTTGGCTACTAAAGATATTTAAATATAATTTGCTACAATAGTAAATTTTTTTTCTAAAAAGAAGATTTGTTTAGACAAAATCTGTTTTTTTGATTTGCAAAGAGCTATTATATATCTATATCTAGTATTGTTATATTTACTATGTTCAAGACTTTTTTTAACTATATCTAACATCTAAATATTCAAGTATTTAAGAGTATTTAAAATATATTTAAGTTTTTTTTTTTTTTTTTTTTAGCAATCATGCTAATACTTTATTTAATCAATAATTTTAATCTACGACTAAAATATTTCTATCTAGTATATATTACTA